TATATAGATAGATAGATAGATAGATAGATAGATAGATAGATAGATAGATAGATAGATAGATAGATGTTGTCAGCATAACTATGAAAAATAATTATGCTTTCTGAATATCAATCCTAAAGGCAGCATGTATGGTATAAAGAAAACGGAATAGGTCTCAGAATGGAACCCTGAGGCACACCACGGGTAATAGGTAACAAGGAAGAGGAGTATTCCTCTATGGATACAGAAAAAGACCTGTCAGCTAAACGGGACTGAAACCTCAACAGAACTGAGCCTTTAGGACCAACAACATGTTGAAGTCTTGATAAAAGGATCCTGTGATCGATTGTATCAAAGGCAGTTGTTAACTCTAAAACAACTAAAACAACCTAAGTCAATATTTAAAACATCAATCAATCAAGCAATCAATAATGCAATGTAACTTTATTTTCCAGAACATTTCATGAGTTGGAGATTTATCTTTGACATCTGGTTTATACATACAAAACAACACAAGTTAAATTTGTCATAAAACTTTTAAAAGATTTGCTAACCCAATAAAAACATTCTAGCATACACGATACATTAAAAACATAAAATCATCTCAGCAGACAACGGTTTGTCATGTGAGGCTACGTTTAAATAGGACGTTGCCAAGAACACTCAGAGCAGAAGGAACAAATGACTTTTTGTACCCATTTTTCTTTACCAGAGGAACCAGAAGTCTTCTACCAGATAGTACCAACCTGAATAATGGTTGCACTGGATGAGTTGTAAACCTGAATTGAGTTTTTCTTCTAGAAACTGACTGTACAGGTCTGTAGGTTGTTTGTTGATGACCAGTGATTTTACTATGTGCTGAAGAGCTCACTCCAGTCTGGTGCCCTATTTTTCAGCCATCACTTGACCAACATCTGGTTCCTTCTTTTTGTAAAAGGTCAATTATCATTCCAGTCCCCAAGAAATCAAGTCCATCTGATAATAATGACTACAGGCCAGTGGCACTAACATCAGTAGTAATGAAGTGTTTTGAGAAATATGTTGTGTCCCTCTTGAAATCAGAGATAAATCCTGGTCTTGATCCTTTCCAGTTCACTTATAGACAGGGACAGGGTACAGATGATGCCATTAATGGCATCACACATCTAACTCTTAAACATCTTGAAAACCCAAAGGCCTCTGCCCGTCTTCTGTTTATAGATTTTAGTTCTGCTTTAATTCCCTACAGCCTCACCTGCTCATTAATAAATGACAACAGATGAATCTTAATCCTCTTCTTATTAAATGGTTTTATTCTTTTTTAACAAACAGATCACAGCTTGTCCGAGTCAATAACACCTTATCAGAGCCAAGGTCCATCAGTACTGGGGTTCCCCAGGGTTGTGTTACCTCTCCTGTCCTCTTCACCATTTACACAAATGATTGCATCAGCGGCTGCCCCGGGAATTATGTTTTTAAATTCTCTGATGATAATGCTATTCTCGGCTTGCTGCATGAGGATATGGACTCCTCATCATATTTTAATGAGGTTCAGTCTTTTGTTCAATGGTGTGATGACCACCACCTTGTTATTAAAGACAAGAAAACAGAAGAGATGCTGATTGACCCCAGGTCTCTGAGTGACAATCTCCCACTTTTTATTCATGACCAGAAAATAAACCAGGTCTGTTCTTACATATATCTGGGTATTCACCTAGATAATCTGTTCAAGTGGGAAATTCATATTAATATGTTGTGCTCTCGGTTACAGCAGAGATTGTATTTTTTTCGAAGACTCAGAATCTTTGGGGTTAACCAGAAGCTTGTGGTTTTATTCTATCAGGCCGTGTTGGAAAGTATCATCAGGTTTGGAATGTCTGTTGGAATGGTTTGGTAATCTCTCTGTGCAACTTAAATCTAAACTTAGTCGCATGGTACAAACTGCAATGAAGGAGATAGGAATAACTGATCACCCCTCCCTGCAGTCTGTCTATGATGAATCTGTCCTCAGACGTGCGAGGAGGGTTCTGTCTGACCCCGCTCACATCCTCAACTCACAATACGAACTGTTACCATCTGGAAAATGGTTTAGAGTCCCAGCTTGTAGACTTAACACATTTAAAAATTCATTTGTCCCTACATCAATCAGATTGTTGAACAAATAGGCATATAGTTTTTTCTTATGCACTGATGCTCTGGTCTCATTGTTGTGTCGTTTACTTGCTGGAATGTATGTGGGAAAGTGCAATATGTGTTTTTATTGAATTATCTGTTTTATATTTTTGTATTTTTTATGGGGTTCACATGATTTTATTGGTTGTAGTGTATTTAATTGTGGAAGAAGCTTTGTTAGCGCACAATGTCCAAGACAAATTGCCCCTCGGGGACAATAAAGTGTCCGTCCGTCCGTCCGTCCGTCCCTCCGTCTCTATCTATCTATCTATCTATCTATCTATCTATCTATCTATCTATCCATCTATCTATCTATCTATCTATCTATCTATCTATCTATCTATCTATC